GGCTCGAACTCAAGAGCCGTGAGATCATGACCTGAGCTGAAGTCAGACGCTTAACCAACTGAGGCACCCAGGAGCCCCTAGTTTCTTTTTCATCGACTTGTAATCTTAGAACAGTTACAGATTTACAGAAAGGTTGCAAAGAGAGTACAGAGTTCTCATCCACCCCACCCCGTTTCCCGCCGTCAGCACCTCCCGTCAGCGTGCCGCATGTGTCACAAATCACAAACTACTACGGGCTCGCTGCTGTCAACCAAAGTCCACACCGTTCAGGTGCCCTCGGTTTTCCTGTCATCCTCTGTCTGCCCCTTCCTCACGTCGCCCCAGGCATCTCTGGACTCAGCCATCTCTCACGTCGTCCCTGGTTTCCGGTGGCCCGGCAGTTCTGGGGGTGCTGGGGCCGCCCCTCTGTTGGGATGTGTCTGATGTTGCGTGATGGGCTTGGGGAGGAAGACCGCAGAGGCAGAGCGCCCTTCTCTTCGTGTCAGGGGTCCGTGCCATCAAGGTGACGCCATCACCGTGGGCAGGACCTTGACCGCCTGGCTGAGGTGTGTTCATTCCCCCTCCCGGTACTGTTCTCTTTGGGAGGCCGTCACTACGTGCGGCCCACACTTCGGGGCTGGGGGTCGTGCTCCACTTACGCTTCACCTCCTCGAGGGGGAAGCCTCCACATACATTATTCAGAATTCTTCACGCCAGATTTGTGCATTCTCCTCTCTCCATTTATTCAGGCATACGTTTATAGCAATCGATAGCTCGGTATCCATGGGTCCTGTGGATTCTAATCCAGCACCTTATTTATTTTGTTGTTTAAACTGGCCACTGGGAGCTCTTTCGGTGGGAGTGCTCCTGTGTCTTTTGGGACTAGGGCCATCACTGTGGCTTATTTTGGGGCACCTCCTTTCCCATCACCACCGGATGCTCCAGGCTGGTCTTGTCCGTTTCCTGCTTCAGTCCTAGAGTCAACCGTTTCTCCGAGGAGCCTGGTTCCTTTGCTTGGAGAATGGTATTAGAGACCAAAATTTGGGTGCTGGGTGTGCTCACTGCTACCGGGATGTCCTTGCTTGTAGGCCCTCCCTGGTGACAGAGCAAGGAGATATATTGTGTGTGTATTAATCTGCACACACACACACACACACACACACACACACACACACACATTTCTATATGCGACCACCTGTGTTTATATTAAACTAAACATGAGTTCTTACCGATGTTTCCACCCCTAACCCACAGCACGTGGGTCAGATAAGCCCCTTGCTCATCTGCCAACTCCCACCCCAGCAGTGGGAGACCTGGCTCCCAGCCCCACCGCCCCTCCACTCAATCACTCAGTCCCGGCGCGCACGCCGTGGTTTCAGAACTGCTGACGGGCACCCAGCCGAAACAGCTTTACTGACTATGGTGCAGGTCTTGTGACAGTCCTTCTGCCCTTACAGACCCCGCTCATTTCCCAAGTGACCTGGGTCAGCATCGTTTCCCCACCCCCTCAGGCAGGCGGCTTCAGGCTTTGGTAATAGAGTGAGATTCTCTGTGACAGTCTGCGTTCCTTCCCGGGGTCCCCTGACCTAGGAGGTCATTTTTTAAAATTTGCATACGTTATGGCTCACTTTTTCTGCTGTAAAATTCTATGGGTTTGGCCAAACGCGTGGTCTCATGTACCCGCCGTCACAGGACCATGAAGACAGCTGCCTCACCCTAAAAAATGCCCTGTGCGCCCTCTTCCCAACCCCCACTCCCGTTAAACCCCTGGCCACGATCAATCTGTTTACTGTCTCCGTTGTTTTCCTTTTTCTGGAAGATCACATTCACGGAGGCAGCAGTATGCAGCCTTTTCAGACTGGCCTCTCTTGCTTTACAAACATGCACGTCTGGTTCTCCCACGTGTCAGCATTGGCTCAGCAGCCCCTTCGCAGCACCGGCTCGTGTCCAGTGTATGGATAGTCCCACAGTTTATCTAGCCACTTGCCTCCTGGAGGACATCTTGTCTGCTTCCAGGTTTTGGCAACTGCTACCAGAGTGAACGCAAACATTTCTATGGACGTTTTTATGTGGACATACGCTTTCAAATCAGGTGGGTAAAATATCTGGGGCGTAATCACTGGGCCGAATGGTAAAATTATGTTCATCTTTGTAGGCATGTGCCAAATGATCTTCCAAAGTGGCTGTACCATTTCGCATTCCTGCTAGCAGTGGATGAGAGGTTCTGCTGCTCTCCACCCTTGCCAGCAATTGGGTATCCTCATTTTTTTTTTTTTTTAGAAAAAATTACAGTGAAATACACATAACAGAGAATTTACCGTCAAAACCACTTTTAAGCATTCAGTGCTGTTAAGTACATTGTTGTGCAACTAATGTCTAGAATTCTTTTCGTTTGTTTTTTTGGTCAATGTCTTTATTTTTATTTTCAAGAGAGAAAGAGACAGAGTGTGAGTAGGGAGGGGCAGAGAGAGAAGAAAACCGAATCCAAAGCAGGCTCCAGGCTCCACGGTCAGCACGGAGCCTGACGCGGGGCTCAAACGCACAGACCGTGAGATCATGACCTGTGCTGAAGTCGGACGCTTAACCGACCGAGCCACCCAGGCGCCCCAAATAATCCTTTTCGTTTTGTAAAGCCAAAACTCTGTCTCCATTAAACAACAACTCCCCATTTCCCTCCCCAGCCCCTGGTACCCACCACCCTACTTTCCGTTTCTATGAGTGACGTCTCTAGGGACCTCATATAAGAGGGTTCCTCATATCGTATCCTTTTGTGACGGCTTATTTCCCTTAGTATAATGTCTTCAAGTTTCATCGATATTATAGCATGTGTTAGAATTTCCTTCCTTTCGGGGCGCCTGGGTGGCTCAGTCGGTTAAGTGTCCGACTTCAGCTCAGGTCACGATCTCACGGTTTGTGGGTTTGAACCTCACCCGTGTCCGGCTCTGTGCTGACAGCTCGGAGCCTGGAACCTGCTTCAGATTCTAGGTCTCCCTCTTTCTCTGCCCCTCCCCTGCTCGTGCTCTGTCTCTCCCTAAAATAAATACTTAAATTTTTTTTTAAGTATTTCCTTCCTTTTTAAGGATAAACAATAAACGATATTCCATTGTATGGATGGACCCCATTTTGTTTACCCATTCATTCGTCAGTGGACATTCGGGTTCCTTCACTGCTGCCTATTATGAATAATGATGCTGTGAATCTACGTGTGCAAATATCTCTGAGGCCCTGCCTTTAGGTGTTTTGGGTATATACCCAGAATTGGAATTTCAGAATCATATTTATGATAATCCTATTTTTAATTTTCTGAGAAACTGACGTGTCAGGGTTGGTTTTTATGTTAGCCAAACAGTGTAGCTGTATCTTGCTTTAATCTTGCGTTTCGCTAATGACAAATGGTGCCCAGCATAATTTCATATCTTTGTCATCTGTGTGTCTTTGGTAGCAAAGTCTGTTCAGATCTTTTGCCCATTTTGTACCAGGGTTGTTAAATTCTTTTATTTACTTTTTTTTTTTTAAGAGAGAGAGAGCATGCACAGGCAGAGGAAGGGCAGAGAGAGAGGGGAGACACAGAATCTGAAGCAGGCTCCAGGCTCCGAGCTGTCAGCACAGAGCCCGACGCGGGGCTCGAACTCATGAACCGTGAGACCATGACCTGAGCTGAAGTCGGACGCTCAACCGACTGAGCCACCCAGGCGCCCCCAGTGTTGTTAAATTCTTATTATTACTTTTAAGAGTTCATATATTTTGGATGCGAGACCTTTATCAGATGTGTGATTTCAAATATTTTCTCCAAGTCTGTGACTTTTCATTTCAGTAACAGCGTCCTTCACAAAGCAAAAGCTTTCCATTTTAATAAAGTCCAGCTCGATGTTTCCTTCTGTGGCCCATGATTTTGGTGTCAGAGCTAAAAGTGGAAATCCGAGGTTGTGTTTCTTCGACGTCTCCTCTGGAAATCCGACACTTTCAAATTTTCCATTCAAGCCTGGGGGTTCAGACTTCAGCACGTGAATTTTGTGGGGACGCAATTCAGCCCATAAAAACAGTGCGGCTAGAGCTTTATCAAAGTTACTGAGGTTTTCAAAGAGCTTTCTTTTGCTTTCA